CCGGTCGGAGTTTTGCATCCAGGGCTTGTTTGATTCTCTCCAGGATGATACGGCTTAGTATTTTGCTTGGAATGGACAGGAGCATAATTCCACGCCAGTTCTTGCATTGACTTAAGTCTCCTTCCTTTGGTAGTTTGAATAAGTATCCGTTCTTCCAATCCTCGGGTACCTTGCCCTCTATCCACACCTTCTCCAGTAGTGGTGTCATCAAGTCCGCTGATGTCTGTAGGTCCATTTACAATGCTTCTGCTGGGATTCCGTCTGGTCCCGGTGTTTGCCCAGCTTTAGCATCTTGATTGCATTCAGGACTTCTGATTTCGTCGAGGGTCGATGTTCACTGGTAGTTCTGCTTCCGTTGTTTGTATTGTTGGGCGCGTTGTAGGTGGCGGTCGATTTAGAAATCTTTTGAAGTGTTCAGTTCAGTGTTTTCTCTGCTCTACTTCTTTGGTGATTGACTTTCCATTGTCATCCTTTACTGGCCTAATCTGTGTCAAACTTTTCCCGATAGGTGCCTAGTTGTTTGGTAGAGTGTAGCGAGGTCTCCTTTGCCTGCAGCTTGTTCTGCTTCATAATATTTTCTTTTGTCTTCCCTGGCACTCTTCTTCACTCTTTTGTTCAGTGTATTGTAGCTTGCATTCAACTCCTGTTTTTGTTGCTCGTCAGTGCACTGGATAATCTTTTGTTTCGCCATCCTTCTCCTTCTATCAGTTTCCAAGTGTCCGCAGTGAGCCACTGTTTGCCCTGTCTCTTCTTTCTGCCTAGAACTTCGATGCAGGTTTGAGTCCCACCGTTTCCAAGTTGTGCCGGTGCCGAACTCTTCGCTAGTGTTGAGGTGATGTGTGAAGATGAAATAAAAAGGCTACCCCACACCTCAACTACTAGAGTGCCTGATTAACGGTCTGGAGGCCAATGGTTCGAGTTTTACAGTGACGTAGATTCTCAGTTCATCTTCAACCACCATGCATTAAATCGGTAATAATAATATATTAGTCAAAACCTATCTCTGACGGTCCTAACATCAGATCTGATATCTACTGAAAAGACTGATGTGGTATGTAGTAAATGGAACTGATTAGCTCATGACCCAGGCTTTGGAACTTTTGCTCCTCTTTAGGCATTTATAGTGAAATATATGCATTCATTGGTTGAATGCCTGCCAAAATGCAGGTGCTCCAAGTTCGATTCCCTATCGGCTCACTTCTAAATCACGCTTAACCAACAGTAAGTTTGGAGAAGACGCAAGGTTGTGAATGAACCTGTCAATCGCTTCTCGCAAAAAAACCACCCTTACTACAACTTCAGAGACCAAGTTTGAAACCCAATATTCCACCTGGAATGTGAGGAATTGGAAAAAATCACCTATTTGTCATTGAATACATCGTGCATGTTATTTATTGACTCACTGATAGATAAAAGATACGCAAAATTATTAAGAAGTTTCCTTAAACTTCGTCCAGTTTAAGATGTTGTACATGGATGTACCAAATAAAGTGCCATAAAAAGTCAATTGCCTCCTGAACAGTCGAGTAACAGTGTGACGAGCACTGAACTACTCCATCTGCGGTTGATAGGAAACCTGAGGAGAATAAATACGTCTTCCTGATGACCATTTCAACTACACAACACAACAATACTATGTACACTTAGTTAAAAACCCATTGCACACAGAAGCTGTGAAACATTTTCTCCTTTAGACTTTTCCTTAGCTAATTAGCATAGGCCTCATCTTGAAGAAAGTGGTCAGTGAGTTGTCATGTTAATATTTTTTCAATGAATTCATTTATTAAAAATCAAACTCAGAACAGAATGAATAGACAGGGTTTATCAAAATTACCTCATTTCTAGGGTCATCTTCATGAATAAGTATGGTCAGATAGATAACTGTGGACAGTTGAGAAAGTTAGTCATTCATTTTCGGCCAATCAATTACTTAAAGAAATCGTCTTCTGTCTAGAATAGAGTGTTTCAATGGAATTATATTTCTAGTATCGGTTTGTAGGGATTTGATTGATTGGTTACAGGATTTAGTTATGAGCTGACCTCGGTTAGAGAACCATTGGGAAACCTGAGAGTAATGAACAGTTGTTTCGTCCTAATTTGGAACCTTCATCAGTGGGTGGGTGAGTGCTGTGAGGAGTCTTGAACTAGTCTGACGAAACAGCTATCCAGTACTACCAGGTTTTCCAATGGTTCTCTAACCGACGTCAGCTCATGATGAAATTCTGTAACCAACTATATTTCTTTCATGACTTATATAGCCACTGAATTATTTGCCTTAAAAACTTTTTAAATGGTAGTTCTTTGTTATTTTACCTACTTAGCAAACAATTTCTAAAATCAGATGGACCTAAATAAGATTTGACTAGTGTTCATACATTGATGGTACCATGTACGTAGTCACTAGTGTTCGTACTCACTGAATTCTATTGTAGAGCATCTCTATTTCTGCCAGTGATATTATCGTTATTTAGGATGCAATGTAAATTTGAAGGCGCGTTAATTACGTGGTCATTGTATTTATGTGGTGGTGGACGGCTTTCGTAGTAAGCAGTCGTAATGCGTATAGATAGACTATTGGAGTTTCGTCTGTTATTCTGTTTACAGTGATTATCTTTCTGTGCAGTAGCATAGCATTGTCGGTATTTAAGATATCTGAGCGGTTATGATTTCACTTAGTGCCAAGTTTCGCATTACCAACATACCGTAGAGAGTCCTTTATGTGAATGATGTGACAAATTCCATGTGGATGATGTTTTCATTGTCATTTGATCACCAGGTTGTATGGAATCTTTGCTAAGGCTAGTACATTTCTGATGCTTCTCTCCACTATCTTCCAAAGTCATTTTTGGATGTTGTTCTAATTTGTTCAGCAGGTGTATTCATATAACAGCAAATGGTAAAAGCTGTTAGACTGATTTTCTGTCAGTGGTCTTGACTTCATCGTTCATATGTCCAGTTGAATATGATTAACTGCCACTAGGTATCATCACTTTCATTTAGCATCAGATTGTTACAATCATATCATATACTAAACAATGATCTGTTGTCACCAAACTGACGAAGAACAGTATCTTCTTTCAGTATGAGAACCACTGGAAAGCAGTAGGGAGTACTGGACAGCTGTTTCATCTTGGTTTGTGAATCACCGTCAGTACCTAAACACCGGCAGGTTTCGAACCCAGGACCTTCCGGTTACAAGGCAAGCTCGTATACCATTCAACCACTGCGACCCGATTCAATGACAAGCCCATGAATTCTAACTTCTACCAATGGTTCTCTAACTGTATTCAACTCGTTAAAACAAAACTAATCCTTACCATTCAACTATAGAAAAGTATCTTCTTTCATTTGGGTTCTCTGAGAGAATCGAATTGCAATATTCTTTGGTTTCATCCGCTCCGAAATTTAGAAGTGAAGCAGTCATACTGGGGAATTTCACTCCAGAGAGATTTTATATCTGAATAGTGTTTTCTTTGCAGTCAGTAAATAACTGTAGATCTTACTGCTTCTGAGGTTGAAATCACCTATCAATCTGTTGCCTCATTTCACCCTACAATCATGACACAGATTAATTTCCAAGATATGCCCATCATCAGATCTGATCCACTGGTTGCACCACAACGTGCACTTCGCGTAACCTGGAGATTCGCTGTTCGATCCCTGTTTGAGTCATCGGTGTAGACTGTTCAGGAGTTATAAATTAAGACAGAAAATTTGTCTGATACGCCTTGATCATCAGCGATTCTCTAAAATAAAATTCGATTCTTGATGAAGTTCCATTTTTTATGACAACCTTTAAACTGATGTATTTTTACATGTACCCTTTTCTATATAATTTTATCTGCTCATCACTTCAATTGCTTCCCGTCGTATTTTATCCTATATACTTGGTGGCTGTCGTGCAGACAAAAAAACACGATGTTTTAATACTTTTATCCAGTCAGACTATTTTATATATGGAATTCTTAATTAAAAAACAAACGTGAAACGATTTCTGATCTTATCATTTAGCAGTAGTTAGCAATAGTAACACAAGGCATGGAAGTAAATCAGCAGGGAAAAAATAAATAAGGTAGACGTATACTACTGTAAATTATTAATAGTATTATTATTATTATTACTATTTTTTATAAAAAGAACATTTCACCCAGTCGCGTATGATGACTATGAATCAGTCAGCTTAGTTTTCATCCTTATTAGTAGTATAATTACACTTTAATTATTATTATTATTATTACTACTACTATTTTTTGTATTGGACAGGAGTTTTAATTCGAAATAGGACACGACAGTAAGTAGTCGCAAAACAAAATGACTTTTAAGAACGATATTTATCTTTTTCATTTGAAGACTAGACATATTGGTATGGAAACACCAATCATTTCATTGCTCAATTTTTCTTCACCTCTTCCCCTCTCACCCTCATAAGAGAGGCAGAGAGAGAGAGATAGAGCTTCCCTTCTTGTCTGAGTACAAGTATGAATAATGCGCATTCGTGGTAGTAGTTGTAGTGAGTTGGGTGGGATGATTGACTCACTGAGTGACTGAGAAGAAAATTTAAAACAAAAACCAATCACTATGACTGCTATGTGTTTTTTACTGGGAAATATCCCAAACATTGGGTATTTTCGATTGGCTTATTTTACAGTTTGTGCGCGTCATGAGCAAGCGTAAGTAACAAATAGGTCTTCCATGTTGTTCTCTCTCTCTGTCTCAAGTTTTCACACACCCAACATTAGCCCATTTAATAGATAATAATAATAATTATTATTATTATGCTAAGCATAGTAAAAAAAAATCGAATTTCGGAGAAAAAATTTTATTTTTTGAACAGTTGAAAAATATTTTTTGTCTCGGAAAGGCGAAAGGCGAAAGCAAACGGACTAACTGAGTGACTGGAAATCCGACAGGAATTTTAGCTTAGTTTTCTTTTTTTATCTCTCACAAATTTTCTGATAACAACTTGTGGATTAGTTAGTAATACAGAAAAAAAAGTAGTAATGATTAGTATTACACCTCAATGTCCTGCTCATCCTCCCCCTCCACCCCCATTATGCTGTGGATGTCGTCAACCAATTTGGGATCCACATTTATTATGCATTGATCATAATCTATGGCATGAAAACTGTGTCACATGTTCTGTATGCCAATGTCTGCTACGTGATAAATGTTTGGTGCGTAATCAAAAGTTATTTTGTCGAAATGATTATATCAAGTAAGTTATCATGCATTATTTTTATTAAATTTTTTTTTATATATTATTTATTTTGGCTGCCATTTAGTTAGACTACTTGATAGTGTAAGTTTTGATCAGTATTGAGATTATCTGGAAGTGATATAGGGCTGTTGGTTCGAACCTTGTTTTAACTGAAGTTTATATTATGTCGGAGACGTCACTAGCTCCTAAGTACTTAGGTCATACGATTAGGATAATGTCTTGACGTGTACAAGAATATCTTTCAGTAGGGTTGTCGAAAGGAGAAATCGACGAGCCAATAATTAAAATCTTGAGCACTTATTTGATAAAAACTATTCTAAAATCAACAGAAAGATCTTCCAAATTGATATATATATACGGTAAGATAAAGTTGTTCGAAGGTTTGCCAACTACATCTTCTGTCTACAACAGAAGCTGTTGTTGCAGTCAAGGAAAATCCTGAACTGTGCCCACAGAAGTGGTTTATCTACTCCATTTTTACTATGGTTGCTGTAGGTTCTCCTTTCCTCACCTCGTAAAAATAACTTGGTATTCATTTGGTTTTTGCCTGCTTCTTATTCATTCTTTTCAATTTCTTAACTTCAAAGTATACTTTATAAATATTCTAAATCTTTTACTTTTTTAAACAATATCCTCGTTTTCAAGAGCTTGTAATGTTTTAATTTTTAGTGGCAGTCATTTCTGAGCTGTGCTCATCATTTATAGTTATTGGATTATGCAATTCATTTCAAGCTTGATATGTTAATTATATATACATATTTTTGATTGGACACTAGTCAGCAACCAGTGTAATTTGTCTAGTCCTTTGTTTGGTACAGATTGAATTCTACCATTCAAGTTTGAAGTGTGGTCATCAGTCTGGGTGGCTCTCCATCACGGTGTACTATGAATTGTTGTTATTGGATGGTTGGAGGTAATCGGCAGAAAGCCTTTCTTGACTTAGGTTTTGTGCTTTTTGGCACTTACCAGTCAGCAAGACGTGTCTGCAACCTTGAAGGAACTCATGTACCTTCTGGGATTCTTACCGGCGTCACTTAACCAAAAATATCCAATACTGTCCTACAGGAGGTCAATCGTGAGCTTGAATAGCCCAGTGACAACGTATCTGACTGCAGCGCTGGGTGACGCGGCTTGAATCTCAGAAAGGACATGAGTTCCTTCAAGGTTGCAGAGGCGTCTTGCTGACTGGTAAGTGCCAACTAGCGCGAAACCTAGGCTTAGCCAAGATTTCCTGCAGATTGCCTCCAAACACCTAATACCAATAAATATATATATATATATATATAGTTACCAACTGTTATGAAGAACCGACCTTTTAAAACGCTATATCACTGTACAGATTCGAGGAGAAGTTACAAAAAGAATATTCTACCTCTTTTTAATATTGTGTTTTCAACTGTTTTCTGAGTTTAGTTGTCCGTTTGATACAACTACTTTCAGTATGAAATTGCCAGGATTAAATAACCTTCTGCCTTCACTATTAGGTAGCTCAAGTTTCAGAAATCAGGCAGTTCGAGACTAATCTCTCAGGGTTATCAATTTATCATGTTTATCATTACTTCTATTATTTCTTTGGGTTCTAAGTGGAACATAGGGATTTAATGGTACATCAATATTTCACTCCGTTCTCTACATGTGATCGTCTCTAGGTGGCTGCACAATCACTTGTATGAATTCATTTCTCCCTTACATGTTCTCCTCCATGTCAGTCTCGGACGCCCACACGGTTATCAGTATGCCCACCAAATAAAATTTCATCAGTTGTGATATCTGATTACAAATTCCCCGCACAAACTCGCTTTTGGTATCCAAAAACTAAAGTAACCATGAATCTTAGCTGAGTTTCCTTCAACTTAATTTATGTTCATTTTGACGACTTCGTCAATAGACATTTGAATAAATGTTGAGACTTAAACAGTTATATCTCCTGTAGGGAATCGATTAGTTTCATATTTGACCCGGAAGTGACATTAATTAGAGAACCATCAGAAGCCAAAGAGTACTGTACAACTGTTTCATCTCAGTCTAAGGCTATTCAGAAGCACAAACTCATGATTCCATCATGAAGAGAACCTAGGGTCTCTCATTTGGATGTTTTCAGGACACTATTATGTTTTTTTGAGATAAAAATGTTGTCAGGGATGTGAAACTATTATGGTTTAAGCTGTTTCGGTACACGATAATGATAATTTCTAGGCACCACTACATTACAATAAAATACAGTTTAAAACAGTCGATGTCAATTAAGATGATCGTTGTATCGGCCCACTGCGTAACTTATCACTTAAGGAAGTGACAGTGAAACTGTAGGTAGTATATAATTACCAGCAGGTACTGAAGGGATACCAAATAGTGTTCTACGTTGGTTACCATCACTAGTTTTTACATACAGTCAAATCTGTCGAAAAAAAATCACACGGAATTTTTAGTGGTTCACATTTCAGAAATGAAGAGTTGACTGGTTGAAAGCAATTGGCACTTGTAGGCAGGCGTATTCACGACCTTTAAGAGACTGATGTCCGCTTGAAGGTCTAAACTTACTTCACCCAGTGCTACAGTCAAATACGTCACCAACGAGCTGTTTGACATTGCGTATACACCAGTAGATAATTGCAAATAAGTAAGACACCTTGCTCCAAGACTTCATAATTCCTCCAAACCATTGAACTTCAGTTTAAAGTACATTTCAGTGGTGAGTCACATCACTTACTTTAGAATGACCAAATAGTGTGAAAATAAAGAGCATGAAACATATAGAAAGGAAGTATAACCACTTTCATATATCTAATAATATTAAGTATAAAATTATTATATATAATGAACATATTATGAATTGAGTGATTTCACTATAGTGATAACAAATGAAAACCTGGCGATCAATGGATAAATGCTCCTGTTTGGTGTAACAATGCCCATCAAATCTCATGTACGACATTCTACACGATAGAGATAACGACTACGACTTGTAGTATTCATCACCTTATTGATTAGTTATTGGTGAGGAATTCATTAAATCATTTTGTCCTACAGTAGATTTGTAGTAGCATCCAATCTTCTCAAATAAAACCCTGTCTCATACAATATTTAATAGAGTAGTCGTCATTCACTAATAAATGTGAGTGTATTAGAGTCTTTGCATTTAACAGGATGGAAGAGTGGAAGTCTAAATCAGTATTTAGTTGTATAACTGAGCAACCACAACGATACATTTTTTCTCATTCCTCTGATTCGTGAAGGGAACATGGAGCTTCTAGACTGAGCTGTTTACTGGGTCAGCTTGCTAGTCCTACACCCTATCTCCCCATTTTACCTCGCATTCGACCACTTAAGTGAGGTTTGGGGATATATCGGCTTCACGACTCCCCACGCCAAACCCATCGTTTTTCAATAGGATTCAATTCAAGCAGTGGTCTAGCTCACGATGTTGTTCAGCAGTCTCCTCAGCTTGTATCTAATTCACCTCCATTTTCTTTGAGACCTTTGTTGAACAGTAGGTTCTTGGTTGATTCGTTCCCAGAGTTTTCTGCTGCTAATTCTTTCCCACTTTCCATTTGTTTAAATAAGCTTGTCCTAATTCTTTTATTCTGCAGCAAGTCAGTTTATCACAATTATAACGTGAGTAACAACACTGTCAGTTTGACTTCAAATCCTCCGAGATTTGATTGATTCTATTGAAAACTATGGTAGCAGACTGTAAAAATAGTTTTGATATTTGATTGTGGATGTTTTATTACCGGTCTTGGTGACATCTTTAAAACTAATAACATCAGGAAATCCTCTGAATATCATCAAACCTATTGGTGAAATATCCACCCACGGTCAAACAGTGAAGCTAGACATTTCATTCCCGCACTCATTCAGAAATCTAAACTATTCTGTGAATACTCCACGTAGACTGAAGTATTTTGATTGTGACATATTTTTCATGCCACATTCAACTGGCATTAAGATATTTTTTCACTCACATGAAGTAATTGGAGTCTCCTTATGATATGGTTTGAAATAGTATACAACAGAATAGATATAAGGCATCTACAGTCTTACCATACAAGGAGGGGACATCTGAAACCTTACGTAGGATTCTTAATAAAGCAGGAATTAGAGGGGCATTTAAACCTACAAACTCACTCAAAGAAAGGCTCTGTAGGCTAAAGGACCCGGTGGATCCAATGAAACAAAATAATACAACTTACAAAATGCCTTGCAGTGACTGCGAGGCCGATTACGCAGGTCAAAACAGTAGATCTGGGGTAGTCATATTACCAGGACATAAGAATTTTACTTAGCCTAGACTGACCGACCCCACGAAGATAAGAAGTTTAGGAAAAAACTCGGCAACTTCACTGCATGTATTAACACATAACTACACATAAAGTGGGGGGGAATTAAAATTCTAAGAAGTAATATAGACAGAGCGAAAGAGAGGTTGATTACTGAATCTTTGCTCATCGAATCTACACCCAACGCATGCAATAGAAATGACTCGTCACCGATACCAGAGATGTAGAAAAAAGATGAGAAATGTAATAGAATTATATAGACAAAGTCGGAAGTAGGATGAGTAACTTGATATGATTATGAGCAGCAATAAATTGTGCTTGAAACGTCATCAGTAAATATCACTGTGTAACACTGTGAGACTTTACCAAATAAATTTCCTCCACAATAGGTATATTCGCTTATTTTCGTCTTCAAGGTACTGGAAGCGTCTACCAACCTCCAATCAATTATTCTTTGAATACAATTCTTTTCTTTACTAATGTGTGTGACTTTCTGTATTACGACAGCTTCAAGCAATGCACTTTCAGTTCTGGGTTCTATGCAGTTAAGTCAGTCAGTAAATTTTCGTTCATATGAAAGGCTATGGTGATGCAAGAGACCTAAAAAAGTAAGCTTTGAGGTAAAAGCTTCCATATGCTCCGACTTTCAATAAGGAAGATATACACTTGAGAGGAAACAATCTAAAAACACAGAGACTGCTTCATATCCGTTCAAATTTAAACGAGCAACTACGTGGAAATTGTTCCACAAAATGCTGTAATGGAGTAAATAATACTTGGGCATCTAATTAGTGACATGTCTCTAGTTTCTTTATCTACGAAATTGTAGTAATTTATTGTACTTAAAATATTAATATACCGGGATGACGGAATTATAGGAATCTAATCAAAACCCAGAGAGGGCAGCAATCAGTAATTTGTATTTAGCGGAATTAGAATGCAATTCATATAAGAAACATATCAACAGTCAACAGTAAGTATTTAAACAATACAGAGATAGAAATTGTCAATCACCACATCCGCCACACCTCGAATATCTCCTCGCGTATTTATAACGATGTCTCGGTTTGCTTGCAAGTAGCTTCGACCTAACTGATTCTGTGATATTATTTTCATCAGTATTACCTGGACCTATTTCTGAATTATCTACAAAATCAGGATTATTAGCGGAATCAATAATATTATAATTGGAACGACCTACTTCATTTATTGTCACTTTGTCCAGGTGTCCGTTATGAACTGAGTGATCTTTGATGTCTAATATCTTCACCACTCGATTTCCCATTTTTTGTAGTATAATTCCAACAGAAGGTCTGTAGTTATTATCTTTGTAATAATGTACATTAGAAGTAGTGGACATCAGATGCTTTTTGAGAATTCGAGATTTGAATAGTTTTGCAGGACTTTCACAAGAACTTGTATGCTCTGGATTCACCAGACGTAGTCTATGCATATGCAGTAATTCCTCAATTTTATTCAGTTGCTCTCTCATCTCATTCAGGTCTTTTCGTGCTTTCGACAGTTCACATTGCAACTTAGCTACCTCATTTTTGAATACAGTTGATACTTGCGTTGCTGAACTTGCAGTGGAGGTTTTCGTTGGATTAGCTTGAGTATTTTGAAAAGTTGAAAGACACATAGACTCCATTTTACTAGACAGCTTGGGAGAATTATAAGAATGTTGAGCAACATAAGTACTCGAACTCCTGCAAACCGTCTTGATGTGTCCAACTTTACCACATTTATAGCACTTAGCACTCCGAAAACGGCAAGTGCTTCGTAGATGTAACTTTCCACAGGATAAACACGGTTTAATGTTTTTGATCTCTGGCTGCATTCTATTACCTGTGGACGGCAGTTTGGATTTCTTTCCATGAACACTTGTATTTTCGACTTTGGACAGCATGACATCAGATACTGACGTAGTGGGAGCAGAGTATTCATTATGGACATCTTCATATGTAATACATACCTCTTTAGCAGTTTGAAACGTACAAGAAGGAATCTGAATTAACTCTTTCTCTAATTTAGGAATGTTGATTCCAGCAATTAGACGATCACGTAGTTGTGTATGCAGCTGATCTCCAAAATTACACTTTGAGGCTTGAATTTGGAGTTGTAGTATAAAGTCTCTTATCTTCTGATTGGGAGAACGTACCAGTTTGTTGAACTGAGCCCTCTCTCTGGTCTCAAAAGTAGTTACATGGAAGTGATCTATAAGAAGTTCACGGAGCTTAGCATATGGCATAGAAATGGGTTTATCTGGAAACGCCAGATTCTTCACCAGGCTATATGCATCAAGACCAATAGCGGTGATGAAATGAGCAGGTATTTTATCATCCCGAACATTCTTGGAAATGCACCACGCATCAAAGCATTCCAAATAATCAGCAATCTCCCGCGGAGAACCATTAAGAGGAAATTTTCCCAGGTTACTTAGCTCCATCGCGACGCCAATTTGTAGTAATTTATTGTACTTGAAATATTAATATACCGGGATGACGGAATTATAGGAATCTAATCAAAACCCAGAGAGGGCAGCAATCAGTAATTTGTATTTAGCGGAATTAGAATGCAATTCATATAAGAAACATATCAACAGTCAACAGTAAGTATTTAAACAATACAGAGATAGAAATTGTCAATCACCACAGAAATACTCGTCAAATGATAACACTTACTTATCAAACTATTCATTCTTAAAATATACTTAATTTTTATACGATCATTTTTACCAATTAATCCTTAAAATGAGTTTATTATTTGGTTATTAATGGTTGGTAACAGAATTCAGAAGGGTAGTTTTTTCTGCTAGCAATCGTCAACCAAAAGAACATCACGACGACCATCAAGACAACGTGGAAGCGGCCATACTCTCTGTCGACATATCAACAGAGATTGGACGTTCTGTTCGAGCTAAAATCAAACAATTAGAAGTAAAAATCCAATTAAACAGGTAAAAATTGATGCCCTATTAGACGAGAAGTGGTTTACGTGGCCCAGTGAACTGGCAGATAATTCTTTGGCTTTTGAAACAATAGATGCTAAGTTAGAGTTTTATTTGGAACGCCATTAATCACTAAGAATATAGGTATATCTAGTTGGCGAGTCCAGCATAGGACGAAATGCGCAACCTGAACTCCCTGTGTTAGCCATCATTAGCCAAAATATCATTATATTAATCTTCAGATATCTTCAAAGAATTCGTACTAGGGACATGTATGGTCAATAAACAGGAAATGTAGATTCAATGTAGATTTAAACAAATCCCAGGCCATTGGGTTGAAACGCCGAGTTGCTGGTGGGTCCGAGAGTAACCCTGAGGAGACTATTTAGGGAAGAGAATAAAGACAATGGACAATCATAGGGCCGACTAAGGAGGACCGAAGCGATTAGGACAAAGTGGAGGTGTACTGTTGAAACCCTATATTCTACTCGGAACCCATGGGAACAATGATAATACCAACAATAATTTAAACAAATATCAAGGGTTCATTTCTTATGTGACATATTCCTATCCCCGGGAAAATGCACCTACTGTTAACTGTTTACTCTCTTTCTTATCTTCTTATCTTTGGGATTAAAAGTCAATTTGGTATTCGTTGCAAGGGTTGTAATCAACCAATTCGGTCAGATGATCCAGTACTAAGATTATACACTTATAAAACTACACAATCAATGTCAACACAAAATGAACTTTTAGAGAAACAAGCTTCATTAGAATTTCAATCTACAACAACAATACCAACGACAACATCTGAAGTCTACCAAACAAATGATGACAGTGACTCAACGATGATGATGATGATGACGACGAAAGACTCCTACAATTTATCCGTTGTTATTCATTATTTTCATGTATACTGTTTTAAATGTTGTGATTGTAATCGATTGTTAACATCAGGTGAAGAGTATACAGTTAGAGATTGTATGCCATTATGTATTATGGATTATGAGAAACAACTGCTCGATGAAGAATCACAACTTATGTGTACAAAATTACACGAATCATATATACAAAAATCAGTACAATTTGAAGAGAATAAGAATAATGTTAATGCTATTACGCATAGTAACAGTAATAGTAATACTAACGATCACAATTTCATGAATAGAAGATATATAAATGATAAAATTAGAGAACAGTATAGACAGAATTACAATAGTGAATCCATGGACAAAGATATAATAAGTTCTAAAGAACACAACAGACTGGCAACATCGATTGAAATGAAATCAGACATGATGAAACAAGACATTTCAGATACTGTTAGTAATAATAATAGTAATGCTAATCCTGGTGATACAAGTTTACTGAGTGATTCAGTTCTCTTATCAGATATCAATATTTCCGCGCCAAATTCAAGTGAAGATTCCAGTAAAGGTAAGTCTTAGTTTAATGAATGGGTCAAGTATTACCTGGATGGTCAGGTGTTTTTTTTTTCATTTACTACAAGTTTGATTATGGGAGAAGCTTTACAAACCAGGAAGTACTAGGTAACCTATGATATAGACTGGCGGCGGAAGTTTGCAAACTTGACCAGCAACTGGATTCCGTCTCAGTGGTTAGATCATCAACCTGCTGGATTTGTAACCTTAGGGTCCCGGTTTCGAACCTTGATAAGGTCAAGTGAATCCACCATTGAAAAATCTCGAGCTAAGACGAAATAACTGTCAAGTATTTCATGATTTTCCACTGGTTCTGTAAGCGGTGTCAGCTAGTGATTAAGCGGGCAACGGATCAAATCCTTAGAAAACAACACTTGAAAATTCTTCTTTTCGACATGATAATGTCATTGTTGTATTGCTGAAAAGTTCGCTGTCAATAAATCTAAATCATTTAAACAAATGACAAGTGCTTTTGATGAATAAAGCACCACATGAAGATTGGTTACAGTGTCTACATCTTGTCAACTAGGTAAAATAAAAGTTACTACGAAGTTCTTCAGCATATAAGGCAATTTCAAGTGTTGGTTTTGTTTGATTGGCTGGAGGATTTCATCATGAGCTGAAATCAGTTAGAGAACCATTGGAAAACCAGCTTGGAGTACTGGACAGCTGTTTCGTCCTAGTTTAGGACTCTGCATCAGTTCGCACCCACCAATACGGTTCGAACCCGTGACTTTCTGTTTACAAGGCCAGCGTGATCGTAGACCATTAAGCCACTGGGATCCGACCCAATGGCCCATGAATTCTAACTTCTGCCAATTCATGATATAACACAATCACTTAGCTCATGATGTAATCTTTCAACCAATCATATAAGGCATTTGTTAATTAAGCATATTATACAATTTACTGTCTATAGTCCTAAACATCAAAAGCATGGCATGCTTTACACTTACGCAAATATTTTCCAACATGGGAGAATTTCACAAAAACGACCTGTTACCTCTACCGATATCGTTAAACTCGGTGAGTTTTGAAAGAATAAGAAAACGGGTAATCAATACGCCTTTCGAGACTTTTGTACCACCTTCTCTTTTACCTGACGTAAGGGAAATCCATTCTCCTTCAGATAGACTGAACATTTTAAAATGTAACATGAAAAGTGATCGCATTGTACGATAACTGAATTTGGTGAGTGAATTACTCAGTAATATTGGATAAAGATTCCATCTGAATATTCTTTGATATAAAGTATCATGAATAACACTACAGGACATAGGTTTACGTCATAAAATATGTGGGAAATAACCGATCGATGACAGTCTTGGGTTGAGAAGGACTCGAACTGATGACCAGTTTAAATTCATAATCATATAATATAGTATGGTTGTTCGCATGTCAGTATTCTTAGTTATATTTTCTCTTTCACCACTAAGATGCTGATCGAATGGATGATGACGATGAACTCTATGAAATGGATAGTGATTCTGAATCAGGTAAAAATTCAAAACGACCACGTACAATTCTGACAGCTAATCAACGTCGTCGATTCAAGGCAGTATTCGAATTTAATCCAAAACCAACACGTAAGGTAAACGACCATCTCTTATCATACTTATAATGTTCTTTTGTAAGAGAAGTAAAATTTAACCGGTTAACGTATATTGGTTTAAGTTTATTGTTTTCACATTATTAATTATTACCTTATGTTCCGAGTGGGATGTATGGCCCCAGTAGTACGTCACCATTTCATCCTGTTTTCTGCAGTTGTCTTCACTTAACTTCACGGTAGTCCATAAGTCTTTACATTCTTCTCACACGGTCTCCACAACAGACTCATAGTTTCCCATTCTCGTTCTAGTTGAGCGCCTGGCGCGTGATATCATTCAGCGTTATCTTCAGCGAGTGTTTGCTTCATTTCCTTGTAATGGTTGTCAGAGTTCCTCAATCCTTATCTTTTCTGCCCATCTGACCTTCAATATGGAGTCAGTGAAGGCAGCTTTTCACAAAAGTCTGCAGTGGTCCATTGGAAGTACTTTTGGTGAAAAATTAAGTATTGGTTTTTGTAGGGATTTTGTTTGATTGCATGGAGGATTTAATCATGAGCTGACATCAGTTAGAGAACCACTGGAAAACCTGGGAGTACTGGACAGCCGTTTCGTCCTAGTTTGGGACTCCTCAGCAGTACGCACCCACCGGGATTCGAACCCAGGACCTTCTGGTTACAAGGCGAGCTCGTAGACCATTGAGCCACTGGGACCCGATCCAATGGTCCTTGAATTCTAACTTCTGCCAGTTCACGACATAGCGCGACCACTTCGCAATGTCTTCTTCGATGAGTTACTGCCTCATCTTCGACCTGCTGTACCCTACTGGTCACGGCTTCCCACTAGAACCCCAGGTTAACTGCCTGAATAGGGCATCAGATGAATCTGATGCTCACTAGTGACTGGCCCATTCAGGCAGTTAACCTGGGGTTCTAGTGGGAAGCCGTGACCAGTAGGGTACAGCAGGTCGAAGATGAGGCAGTAACTCATCGAAGAAGACATTGCGAAGTGGTCGCGCTATGTCGTGAACTGGCAGAAGTTAGAATTCAAGGACCATTGGATCAGGTCCCAGTGGCTCAATGGTCTACGGGCTCGCCTTGTAACCAGAAGGTCCTGGGTTCGAATCCCGGTGGGTGCGTACTGCTGAGGAGTCCCAAACTAGGACGAAACGGCTGTCCAGTACTCCCAGGTTTTCCAGTGGTTCTCTAACTGATGTCAGCTCATGATTAAATCCTCCATGAAAAATTAAGTCTCTGAACGATATAGAAGAACTGACTTTTATGAAATTTATGTTGAAAACCTGAATTTTCTTCTTCATGCCGATTGTAATAGATTCCCCGACTGATTTTAGAGTGATGCAGGTCTGTCTTGCTTTCTGACCCTGACTACCTTTGGTATCCTCATCGGTGTTGCCTGTAGTTGAAACGGCATTGCTTAGTCAAGTAAATGAAAGAGATGACGCCCTAGTTGTTGTAGTTATCTTTATCACCTCTGTCTTCTGCTTGTTCACCTGAAATTCTGTCTTTCCTGTTTGCCTCTTCTGCTAACTTGTTGGTTTCTACCTGTAAGTCCTCGACTTATTGTGAAATTGAATGCAAATCATCCAGTAAGTTCAAATCTTCTAGAACCATTCTGTTAATTTTTTTTTTCATAGCTCGTAATCTTAACTTCAAATTCTGTGACCAGTTCAGCTAATCACCTTTATCATCTCTGTCAAAATACTGGTGTTTTGTAAAATATCCTTTATTTTCGTGATCTCATCCCTCCCCATTTATGAAACACGAGAGATGTATATCAGTGATTTATTCTGCAGAATTCGTGAATTTAAATTAACAGTCAAGTATCGACTTTGGATTACCCTTTCACTATTTTCCAACAATCAGTGTGATTCTGTTTCTTGGAGGTATCAAGTATTCTGATCATAAATTTATTTCATTTCTGTCTTTTCATAAGCTATGCCATCCTCAGTGGATATCTTTATGTCAGATTTTACCTAGTGTAATCGTCTGTGAAATAAACTTACAGTTAAGAAATACTGAGGAGTTTACAAACCAGCAAAATGTGTGTGTGTGTTTAGTTTTCATTACAGTTTCCAACTTATTTTAGAGCAGGTGATCACTTTTGAATTTAATAACTGCCGAGAGGTTGACTTTAGAGCTCTACAAGCTTATCGTTAGCTGGAAATATTATCTCAACTATTCCCTCTTTCATCTGTGGAGAATTGAAGTCCCCTAATATATAGTTTTTAATGATCAGGATAAGAAGAATACTTGCTCCACTCATTCTGAAGAGCTGGTTACTAGTAGGTATTATCAGAAGTAGATCATTGTTGTTCTTTTGGAATAATGCAAATTTTTGCAGACAAATGCGATCAAACTAATGATCATACATCTTTTTACTTAGTCTATAATTACAAACTGGATACACGGATAATAATCCAATCACATCAGCTCTTTCAAAGTTGCAAATACACCGTAGCGATGGGTGTCATTAGGTCCAGGGATTTCTGAACCGATTTCCTTTAACTATCTAGAATTATTAAAGCACAATTAAGCACAAAACTGGTAATTTTGTCTATGGTAAATGCAAGGCAAACATAAAGAATAAAGACCTCGGAGTGCGAACGCACCAACCACCATACCATTTGTTGGATTACAGAGCTTGCTGTGTACTGTATGTCAAAACGACGTTTATTTACAAGAAAAAATAACACAATAATAATAATAATGAAACACGTTTAAGACGATATTTTACCCCCCTCTATGTTACTGGAAAATACTTCGCAGTAACAATTTTCGAGTTTCATAGATATCTAAGTGGTTTCATTCATATGAACAACGAAACGCTCTCCTCCCATTTATTTATTGATGAGAAGAATACAGATGATAAGCCTACACCCTAACCTTCTTACTTACCCTGGCCCTATACCTAATACTTACCATAACCCAGTAAAGTTAAACTTTAAGCACCGCTAACTACCAATCAATGAATGACCTAAAACGCACCAATCACGTTAAGGAGGCATTTTTGTGTATACAATACGCATATTTATGAAAAAAATGCATAAAATCTATGGAAAAGTGTTACAGAGGTTACTTTGCTTTCACATGTGATAGGTTCGAGAATCAAGAGAGTATAATTAATAATAATAATAATAATAATAATAGCTTTATTCCAAAAACAGTACTCATGATACAGCAAGGAATTTTCAGCATTCAGTACAATATTGCATCTAATTTACTCAAAAACGACAAAAAAAAATTAAAAATACACAATACATAATAGTAATAAAACGATTGTTGTAGCAGCTACGTAGCAAAATACTGTGTGCCATACGGAGAAAAATATGTATAAAGTACAAAATTGTAGTAATAATAGTAATACCAACTAAAATAAAATAGCAGAGTAACGATTTAAACGATAGAAAGTGTGACACCATAAAATACAGAAAGATGAACGATAAAAGGGTCGATTCACTGTGCTAATTACATAGTAACTTGTAAGTTTCACGTCTAACAGAGTCTTCGTCACATAAAGTACGCGCTAAATAGGGTATTGTAGAATTTCTATACTTAGTAGTACGAGCATATATCTTTTTATATTGACTTCTCGTCCTACCTGATGAGATACAAGGGGACAGGTGTGAATAAAGGGGGTGCAGAGGGTCTGACATTATAGCCTTTGCCCATTTCGTACAGGAATTTATATGCCTCTCGACTATAGTATTAGCGAGCTCATGCAGTGGCAGACCACAAGCTCTACTCACAGCATTTAATACTCTTCGTAATATGATATAATCTTTTTTGAGCAGCCCAGGAAAGATTAATGGAGAGCAGTAGAGTACAATAGGTAAAATACAGGAGTTTAAAAATTGCAAAACTAAAGGTTGGTTGATACCTGATTGTCTTAACTTTTTAATGTAGAAGGTAAGACGAAACATTTTCTTAGAGATAGATAAGATATGGGATGACCATGAAAGGTCAGAGGAAAAAACTAATCCAAGGTATTTAATGCTTGATTTGGTTTCAATTTCCGTGCCATCTATGCTACAGGGATCATGCGAGTTAACTAGTTCAAGTAAGTCACGTCGATGCTTGAAAGTAAAGTCAAGCACCTGACATTTGGAAGGATTTAATATAAGACCATTTGACTTGGACCAGTTGTTGATGTCCAACAGAAAGCTATTAAGTTTGGAGCTGTCAGACTCGGAAGTGATAGGCAGTGATACAGTCAGATCATCTGCATATTTGACAAAGTTAGTTTCGTTTGAATGAGGTAGGTCATGTAGGAAGAAAGAAAAAAGAAAAGGAGAGAGGACAGCACCTTGTGGAACACCGGATTTTGTAAGCGAGGTAGAAGAAGATTTGCCGTTATATACAGTATACTGCATTCTATCAGAAAAATAGGAATGCAACCAACTCTTAGCCCAGGATCCTGTTTGTGTCAACGATAGCTTATTTAATAAAAGGCCCCTAGGTACAGAGTCAAAAGCAGATGTGTAGTCTAAGAAAGCACTACGAACATATTTAGCACCTTTGTCTAAACAAGAGACAACATTGTGATATAAGACAACCGCAGCATCCAAGGTACTTCTACCATGTTTGTATGCAAATTGTTTAGGATCATTAAAAGGTTTCAAAGCGGGTTCAAGACGAAGTAAAAGTAATTTTTCCATCAATTTTAAAAAGGGGGAAGTAATTGCAATAGGCCGAAATTTAATATCAGAACCAGAAGATGGTTTTGGTATAGGGATAATTTTAATGTTTTTCCATGCAAAAGGTAGAACGTTACCGGAAAAAGAGGCATTAAAAATGTTAGTAAGAGGATAACACAAAATATCAGCACAATTCCTGAGGACAATGGCAGGTATGCCGTCAGGACCAAGGCTTTGAGAAGGCTTAAGAGACCGGAGACATTTAAGCACATCAAGGGTATTAAAACCACTAAAGTTATTGTCAATATGATTTGTATCAATTGGAATTGGGGGGTAAAACTTATTTTGAAAATACACTTATATTTACTAAGCAATAAATTGTGCTCGAAACGTCATCAGTAAGTATTACTTTATAACACTGTGACAGTTTATCAAAATAGATTTTACCCACAATTGAATTATATTCTACCACAGTGCACAAGTTCTATTCTTATATCAACAGAGTAATTTAACCACATTCTATGAATGTCATTATTTAGGTCTTCTAACCTTAACAATCACCCTAATCTTTCCTGACCTTAACCCTAACGTGAAAATATCCCGAAACTAACTGTAACCCAACTCGAACTAACCCTATTAGGTTAACCCAACCCTAACTTCTCCTTAGCTTAAAGGGTAACTTAATCCTTCCCAAACCTAAGCTGAAACTTGCCAGATATCCCATCAAATAGTAGAACACTTCTATGAGCATATTTTTTTTGGCAATAACAAGATTATTTGCCAGGTTTCACTAACTTGCTCAGTGATCGTTTCAAGGTTATTGGTGTGGTTGCACTCCACTGGTCGCTAGTGGTACTTACAGTTTAAACTGACCCATAACCCCAACCGTCATTGTAACCACAGCCCTAACCCTAATGCTAATTCCAACCCTAACGTGCCATCAACCCGTTGTCCAAACAGAACTTAAAAACGAGATGAGGATGAATTCTTAATATCATTTCGTGTACAACGTTCATAAAGGCTCTGTAATATCTGCAGATTCTATAATCCGACGAATAATATGCGTCCAAGGTCATTGGTGGGTTGGCACTCCATGGTCACTGTTCTTCAGGTTGACGAAATACAAAACACAGTCACATTCCAATAGGAATCTTAATTACTCTATGCATTATATAATAACAATTTGAAAAGTTAACAAAAGACACTAGAAATACATAAATCCTACAGTCTTTCTCAGAAAATTTTAAAAAATGTTATTCAATACTATCTAAGCGCACACTCTGTAATTATTTATTTTCTTGTCTAGATACGAGAAGCACTGGCAACAGAAACTGGTTTAAATATTCGTGTGGTGCAAGTATGGTTTCAAAATCAAAGGGCAAAGGTAATTTATGCTATTACTACAACCATTATATATTGTATTGAAATGTTCATAGACAGTTTCTTGTGTCACCCTTTAAGTGCATACTTTGTTAACTATTTATCATTTCAGCATAATCATTGATTTCGTAATATAACTCCCAATTCTTGTCTCCGTTATGATTTCAAATAATGAACTGGTCTTCAAATGAATGAACAAGAGATTCATTGGGTTTTTATATCTGATTTGCTGTTTTTATGTTGATCCAGTTCCAGTTGTATAACGATCGGTGGCACAGTGGTTAAGACTCTCGCCGACCATGCACATGGTCCGGGGTTCGAGCCCACGCCGACGCACACCCGATATCTATGGTCGGCCTGTGAATTTTGGGCTACCGATATCCACGCTGAAAGTTGCACACATGTACCAAAAATACGGTGTGGAATCAAGCTGTAAATAAAAAAAATATGCTTGGGGAAATAAGCAATTTTATTCCTTCCTAATTTGAAAATCATCATCAGGTCAAGTAAATTAATGATTTCCTCAAGGAATTCCCACAGATAGGCGTAAATTTTGATACCGGAAATAAAATCCACTATCATTTTATTACGACATGTAACTTCAGAGAGTAATTAATATGAAGAATTGGATAGAATGAAATGTCAAGCACATGAAGAGATGTTTTCTAAATATTCCAAATAAGTGGTGGTTAAACAACATTTACACTTGATGGTTTTTGACGTACTGATGACTTTAGGTGGTTGGAGATAATCGGCAAGAAGCCCCATCTGATCTAAGTTTCATGCTAGTTGACATTCACCAGTCAACAAGGCGTATTCTCAACCTTGGAGGAACTCATGTTCCTTCTGAGATTCGAACCCGCGTTCCCCAGTGAAGCAGTCAGAGACGTTACCACTGAGCTATTCAGGCTCGCAGTTTATCTCCTGAAGGACTGTATTGGACACTTTTGGTTGGAGATTAATCAGTAGCTAGTGTGATGTGTGTCTCTAGTATTATCTCTAGTGCAGACTGAATTCTATCAATCAAGTTTGCAATGTGACCACCATTCTAGGTGGCTCGCCATCATGATGCACTATCCATTGTCAGCATTAGATGCTTGGTGATGAGTGCCAACTAGCACGAAACCGAGGTCAGGTAAGGCTCCCTGCCGATTGTCTTCAACCATCTAGTACCAACAATTCAAAGTGCACCGTGATGACGAGCTACCTAGCATGGTGGCCATATTGCAAGCTTGACTGATAGAATTCAGTCTGCACCAAGCAAAGGACTAGATAACTACAGTGATTACTGACTAGTCTCCGGTCAAAAGGTATCGACGGTTTTTCTACACTTTAACCCAGGGTTTCCAGCCACAGGGGAAATAAAGTTGTTGATCAGTTGAACAAAATATAGTTTGAATTTATCAATATCTATCTTGATTAATTTATTGGAGAAGGTGTTACTTTTTTCGCAGATAAGTCAGTTTTTCGATCTTTTTTTGTTGCAGTTTCTTTTGGCTTACAAATCTATTAGAATTTAACCGAATAGTAGAATGATGCCAATCTTTCTTTTTCACGTATGTGTTGCTGTTCTTTGTTTAATAGATTAAGAAATTAGCTCGTCGACATGCTCAAGAATCTCGAAATCAAATGAATCGAAGAATGCTGTCTACAAATGAACAAATAAATATGATACGATCTCCTAATTCTATGCTATTTGATCTAAGAAATCCATCCATGTCAGATATGCGTGAGTTTATGTACTTCCTATTTAGGTCTGCATAGAAAATGAATTATGAATTGATGTAATCATTGAATTGTAGTTATTTTCATTGATTTAACGTTCAGTAGAGCGGAAATCTAGACAGTTATCTAATTAATCCTTTAGGGATTATTCATATTATAAGAATTAATGGTAAGTAGTTGATTCATTACCATGAGTCTGCTATTATTTTTGAATGGAATTTCCACATTAATCACATTATTAAGTGGTTTAAATGACCAACAGTCGCACATAAGTCATAGTCTTTTGATTGGACACTAGTCAAGAAATAGTGCAATGTGTGTCTCTAGTCGTATCGTTGATAAAGACTGAATTCTATCAGTCAAGTTTGCAATGTGGTCACCATGCTGGGTGACTTGACATCACGATGGACTTTAAGTTGTTGATATTAGATGGTTGGAGGCAATCGGCAGGAAGTCCTACCTGACTTAGGTTTCGTGAGTGTTGGAACTCGTCAGCAAGCAGTAACTGCAACTTTGAAGAAACACTGGGTAGTGTGGGTTCGAATCTCAGAAGGGACATGAGTTCTTTCAAGGTTAGAGAGATGTCTTACTGACTGGTGAATGTCAACTACACGAAACCTATGTCCAGGACTTCCTGCCGATTGTCTCCAACTACTTAATATCAAGAAGTGTCAGTCTTTTGTATCTTCTAATGCTTATTTAGCTAGTTGGAAATGAGGTGATTTCAAGTGATTCTTCTCTTGATCTGAGTCAGCCCAAGTAGATCGCTAATGAACTCGGTCCCAAATACTTCGATCTAGTTAACAGACACTATGTGAGTGATTTTCGGCTATCATGTACCATCATGCCGTTTCTCCTGCTTTCCTGATTGCTACTTATGGTATCTACCAGAGAATATATTGAAATTTGAACAATTTTAGTGTACTTGGGAATTGTGGTGAACTATGTGGTTTACAAAATGAAGATTTGATTTAATAATAAAACAGGCTGATATTTAATCATTTAATCACTATGTAAATTTTACTAAATTTGTCTCAGCAATACTCAAAAGAATTTTCAACATCATGGAGTAATAAATATAAATTAGTTAGATAACCACTGGAAAACATGTGAGTACTGGACAGCTGTTTCGCCCTGGTTCTGGACTCTTCATCAGTACTCACTCACTGGGGTTTGAACCCAGTTCTCTAACTGATGTCAGCTCATGATGAAATGCTCCATGGAATTAAACCAAAATCCCTACAAAACCAATACTTGATAATAAATATATACCCAGACATTTTGAGGTATCTTTTCGCTTTTGAATATAAAGAATCATCCAAACAACTGATGAATGCACGTTATTGCATGTTTCGGTCAAAACTACTATTGATAAATAAGGAGTACTGGACAATTATTTCGCTATAGTTGGGGACTTTTTATCAGCACTCAGATTCAACCAGTGGAGTTCACAAGGTCGGAAGCGAGGACAAATACTCGCCGATGACAGTGGCTGGTGCCAGTTGCACTAATATCAAGAATTGGTAGAATTTGGAAATCATGGGTGATTGAATCTCCTACATGCTACCGTCGAACTGGAACTGACGAACAACTCGTCGTTGGCTTCCTACTCAAGTTCCATTGTGAATACTAAGTATATCCTTTTTGCAGAAACAACTGCCTATCAAATGGTCACATACATTTAACAAGAGAGAAAACTCAAATTCGAATAATATTAAGTGTATAATTCTGAAAATTAAGCGAAATTCAAGAAAATGATGTTGAATCTATTCATCAATGCACAGCTGTGTTTAAGTCAATTAATATTAAAAATGAGCCATGAATGATTGACATTCACATTTGTTAAGATCAAATTTATCATTGTTTCAATAAAATAACTTTAAATAAATAACTGAGAAAGACAATCAATGGAATAGGATGAATCATGAAAGCAAACTATTCAGTGTATTGTGTTGTTGTTGTTGGTTTTGCGGTTTTCCATATAATAAAATAAACAAATAAACAAAAACATTTTAAAATTAATTACGGTTATAAATCATTATTGCATATACTAATGTATGTTACCACTAAAATACATCTGGTCAAATTAAGTTTTAATTCACAGTGTAAATGAACTCATCACTTTAAGCAGTAAATAATCACCTGGTTGTCACGAATGAACAGCAAGAAACACTAAATAGATATTTCGTCCGATTTTGCGACTCTTCAGATGTGTACTGTCACTGACTTACACCATCTCTGGCGTAGGCGTGACATCCGGTTATCAACCAAGGGACGTGTGTACTGCTCAGCAGTCCGCTCCGTCCTTGTCTATGGCTCTGAAACATGGCCAATACGAGTTGAAGACATGAAAAGGTTGACTGCTTTCGATCAAGGATGTCTGCGATCTCTGTCTCACGTTAGGTGGTTTAATAAGGTAAGTAATGTTGACGTTAGGCGTAGAGTGTTGGGCAAAGAGGGAAAATCAATCGACGAGGCTATAAAGTTACATAGACTGAGATGGCTAGGTCACGTGCTGCGCATGCCTAACCATCGCCTCCCCCGACGGGCATTGCTAGCTGATATAGGTTCAGGTTGGAAAAGAGCCAGTGGTGGCCAAACAAAAACATGGCATCAATCCATGAAATCCTTGACAGTTAAACTGAGTCAGGTAGGGAGATGCAGACTTCCGGGTTGGGGCCCTCGGGACTCTAGGAATCAGTGGCTGGAGGCAATAGGTGATATGGCTCAAAATCGTTGTCAATGGCTCAGATGTATTCAGTCTCTGTAATCTTTCATATTCCTTTCTACCATTACCCATTCTGTTTCACTCTTATACTTGTCAAACTCTATTGATTCTCTTCACTCATCTTCTTGTCTACCTCTGTGTGCTATTTGGAACGTGGCAACTCGAAATGGCGCACTTCGGTGCCAAGTTCTATGTTGAATCCAGACAGAGACAGACAGACAGACTGTCATAAATCTACGAAGAATCGAACCCAGAAGCTTCGGATTACGCGGAGGGCTCGTTGACGACTCAGCAACTGGGAAGGAGTCCAATCGCTTGTGAATTCTAGCTTCTCCAGTCTGCGATTTAATACAGTTGTGAGAGCTAGCTGCAAGCAGAAATTGTAGAGAACAATTTACGTCAGTGTCCCGTCCCTAATCGGGGTCATGAGAAAAACAAGAACAAAGCCTTACTTTAAGAAACTCACCAACCAATCACAGAAGATTTAACGAGTGCAATTACGATTCGCAGATATATGGCTCAACTTTCTGAGAAAAGTCGCAATCAGTGCAGAATAACCTTCAGCAAGAAAACAACTAGTCAGAAGAATTTGCTTCTTCACTGACAATAATGTACATAAAAATCTATGAATATCTCTGGAATTTCTCAATAAACGATTTGTTGCATGGCCGTTGTCTTCTGTCGTTACAGTACTACAGCTTAATGGTGGCAGCTGATGAGTATCTACTTCACTGTGAAATGGATGGTCCCACCGGCGACAACTTTTCATTACGGCTTCAAGATATTTTATCCTATAGATACTGATCTAGTTTTAGAAAATGGATAACACATTAGGAGTGTCGTTTTTAAAATAAAAAACGATTAAAACTATGGTGAATATGTTTCTGGTTTATGGATGCAATCAGATGAAAAGTCATAAAATCGGTGAAAATAGTTTTACACTGCGTTCTTTATTCATTACAGACCATGGAGGTTGATAATATGTTTTGTCTATTGAAAAACTGTCAATCAATTGTAAAATGGCGTAGGAACAGGCTTGAAAAAATTAATGTATGCTTTCAGCTAGTGAACTTGATCGATTCTACAGATAATTCGTACATATTTTCCATCGCATTTTATGTTCGTTTTTATCGAGAACTAATAATGATGATATGAGTCGTTATAATTCATTTGATCTCAAAATGTTTGAATCATGAACGTCATATATTAGATCTAGAATTACTGCAGTTATCCATCTGGTATTTATGATTTTGGTAATCTTTGCTGATTTAATAAGCCATTCACGGCTTCACCGTTTCAAGCTCTTACATACACATATATAGCTGAATCTATGAGACAAGCGTATGACTATAGCAGGATCAACCGGTTTATTCGCACAATTTTACATCAACTGAATGGGCAATTATACAGTGGTTTTCAAGGGAACCAAACACACTCACCCAGCCTGATGCGACACCAGAACAGCATGTCATATCATCCTGTAGTGCAACTACAGTGCAACTATTCTCCTCTGGTTGGCCATTAGCACCATTAGTACATATATTAATGTATAGGTAAATATTACTGCTTCAGCCAATGGTAGTATTGATCAGTTATGCACTGCATAGACAAGCCCAGAAGAATCTACCTCGCTTACAAACAAGACTAACCACACACTTTATTATAGGCAAGACTAGCATGCATAGCAACGCTGTATTGATACATACCCCTATAAATGAAGTTGGTACCCACCCAATTAAATGAAATCGTTAATCCCGTCAACCATATCAACATATGAAAAGCCTCAATGTGACTACCAAGACTATTGGAAACCATTTATAGTCATATTAATGATATTAGATGGTTGGAGGCAATCGGTAGGAAGCCTTGGACTTAGGTGTCGGGTTAGTTGGCACTGACTGGTCAGCAAGGCGTATCTGTAACCTTAAAGGAACTCATGTCCCTTCTGAGATTTGAACCCATGTCAACCAGTGCAGGTTGCAGATACGCCTTCCTGAATGGTGAGTGATAACTAGCGCGAAACCTAGGTCGAAGGCTTCTTGCCGATCACCTCCAACCATCTAATATCATCGAATCAATGTGCATCGTGATGACCCGCTACCATGAATGGTGGCCTCATTGCAAAACCTGACTGATAGAATTCAGTCTGCACCAATGAGAGGACTAGACACATCAGACTAGTTACTGGTGTCAAATCAAAATATAGTCATATTAGCTAGCTGTGAGAATGGTATAAATAGCTTCTGCTATAGTTACTATAGGACGTCAGATAGAGACAATCGGTAGGAATTCTTATACCTACAAGGTATATGCAAACTCAAATGAACTGATGTCACATCCAGTACTTTTGAATTAGATATAGAATGAGAGAAGACATAATAACATAATTCGTCGCATTACAGTCTTGCTAACCGGCTCATCGTAAGCACTTCATTCTACTTAAGATCCACTGACTAGATTTTTGAACGAGTTACAATGAGTGATATGCATTTCCACAGACACTTGAAATCACCACCCGTATGTTTGTATGCATGAGTTCTGTCCAATAAATCTTTTAATAAAATCAAGTGTATTTTCTTCAATGGATGCTGACTTGTTGCTAGAATTATTGGCCTTTCCCGTTGTTGTACTGCAGAGCTTGAGAAGTTTTCTGTGACCTAGTTAAAGAAATCGTAATTTCCCGGAATTTATGAATCTTAACTTACTGTACGCATTTCGGTAGTTAGAAAACCATCAGATGCTACTACACTCTACTTATTCATGAAAGCGACTCAATTCAGGCTATTAATTAACCGATCCAAATATTATCGTGATACTTGACACTTATAAAGAAAAGATTTCAGTCAAAGGGAGATATTTTATCATGACAGTGTTTTTGCAATGAATTCGGTTATAATTCACAGTTGGTTAGTGCACTTCATGCGTCAATGAGTGGGATCCAAGTGTCTGAATCGTCTACAAACTCACCATTGTAACCGGTAGGTCCTAGGTGTGTATTGAAGAAGATTTCCAAGGAAAGACGAAACAGTTGTTCAGTACTCCCTGTTTTTCAGTGATTGCCTAACTGGTGATCAAACAGGTGGGCAATCAAATTCCTGCAAAGGAACACTTGATAAGGTGTTTTCACGTGAAAAGCTTTGTTATGTAATCATCTACGAACTATACTGGATATTTCGTAGCAAATACTTCAGTGGTGCACATTTTTCCGTAATATTTTTTATTATTATTCATTGATTTCTCTTCTTCTAATCCCTGTTTTGTATATTTCTACAGCCTACATGTTCAATCCTATGGGTAGTAACAGCTGTCAGGAGACAGCTCCGCTTCACATGAATTCAATACCCGGGAATAATTCCAATGAAAGCTGCATCAAAAATAGAATGACTTCTTCCTCCTCTTCATCTGCGGCGGCTTCTTTAACCACCTCATCCTTTCCAATGATACCACAAACAAGTCATCTGGAAGACAAATATCTCAATAATCCTCAATGTAATCCAACATTGCATCGCGCCATTGGAGAACAACCGTCTTTAATACTCCCTACAACGCATACATTACTCTCATATGCTAATTCAAAACAGCAAAATTCATATTTGTTAGAGGAAAAATTCACTCCAAACACCTCATCATCGCATCTTAATAATAATAATATTAGTAATAGTAGTACTACAAGTAGTTGTTCATCAATTTTCGATGCATCTATCGACAAACTTTATTCTATGCAACAAACTTATTTTATGTAATCAGTAGTCACATTAGAAACTCCTTCACTTTATTTATCACAAGTGGTTACGTAATTGGCTGATAGATAGACAGACAGACAGATAGATAGAGAGACAGTGAAATCGTTTACTAAAGAAGTCCCTCTGTACAGTAATGATTATTATTCACGTTGGATGATAATAATAATATTCAAACAGCCATTCTCATCACTTCACGCAAATACAGACACACGAAGATACATTTCAGGCAAATTTGTTTCGAAATAATGTATATTTCTGCTTTGCTCCCCTCGTTTTGATTCCAGTTTTAATGGAAACAAACGAAAAGCCTAATTTTCTGATATTGTAAATGATTTATTCTATCACCACTTTGTTATTACTATTATCATTATCATTATTAATATTATCTTGACTGAATGAAGACTATTTTTGTTAGAAGTATCAAGTAGCGGTTTCCTTCCAGATAATTACAGAAATCTTTTATAGAATGGTTCATATTATTACTTTTCAAGAGTTTATCTGCAACAGTTTGATGCTAACTGGTAAGTGACTGCAGGACAAAGTTACCTGGAGGAATTCTAGTGAGAAGTCGGGATGAGCAGTTGTGGGAGGGGGGCGACCCAGTGGGGATTGAAGACAAATACTCGCTGATGACATTGCTTGGTGGCCGCGCTAAAATCACGAATAAGCAGAAGTTAGAATTCGTGTCCTGGTCATTGAGTAGGAACCGAGTTACTGAATGGTCTTTGAGCTCGCCTTGGATTCGAACCCAGGAGGTGGGTACGTACTGCTTTATGAAGCCGAAACCAGGATGAAACAGTTAGTCAGTACTCCCTGTAGGTTTTCACTGGTTCTCTCTAACCGATATGATCATACTGCTAAGCTTAATTTCTATGGAAGATTTTCTGTCGAGATCATACTTCCCTAAGTCAGTTTCTCCGACTATATTTTAGATATATCAACAAGTCAGCCTTGTTCGATAAGCACTTTTAGTCAGTGTGTTGATTAAGGTACTACCTTTGTCATATGAATGATGGGATAAACTTTTGTTTGTCTAATATATACGCTGATCATATGAACTAAAGCTAACCCAAGTTGCATACGAAACTAATTGCGTTGATTTTCGGTCAGGAGTCAAGTTAAACTCTAAGCACTGAAGGAGTATATGATGGCACCAATGAAATTTGGACGCTCAGTCAGGAAGTTAACGAAAATAAGTAAATAACATAATGATTATGAATCAAATATGATTAGCGAGACAGTTGTGATATTAAGTGGAATATCTGTAAGTTTTAGGTAAGGTTTAGAAAGGACTCAGTTAGGTTTTTGGAAAAGGACAGGTTAGCGTTAGGCTAACTTAATAAGGGAGATGTTAGTGTTGGCTGTCTACTATCACCAATGATCTTCCTGATTGCAATTGATTGGATAATGCGGCAGACAACGGCAACCAACGAGGGAACAGGCATAAAATGGACTGACACAAAAGACTTGGAGGATCTGGACTTCGCCCACGATGATATATGTCTGATTTCCCACAAACTGGAAGATATGCAAGTGAAAAGCTAGAAGCTGGCGATAGAAGAAGCATCGAAGATAGGACTTCAAGTAAACATAGATAAAACAGAGGTGATGAAGATTCCTAGCCAACATCAACAGCAACAACAACAACAGACAACAATCAGCATAAGTGGGAAGAACCTGAAAGAAACAGCCTCCTTCACCTACCCGGGAAGCATCGTCTCAACTACAGGAGGACGGAACTGACGAGGATATCAAATCCAGAATCGGAAAAGCAAGACAAGCTTTCATTACTCTCAAATCTGTGTGGAGGTCAACAGCACTCAGCATCAAAAATAAGATCCGGATTTTCAACTCCAATGTGAAGTCAGTGCCTTACTATACGGATCAGAGACTTGGTGAGTCATAAAGAGCATCTCAAACAAACTTCAGACCTTCATCAACAGCTGTATTCGCTCAATACTCAAGATCAGATGGCGGGCCAGAAAAGATCAGCAACAGGGATCTCTGGCAGTGAGCGGACCAACCAGGACCGATTGTGAAACAAATAGGCAGGAAGAAATGGAGATGGATTGGCCATACGCGGAGGAAACCATCAAGTGACAGACATCACTAGACAAGCCATCGCTCGAGTGGAACCCGAAAGGGGAACGGCGAGTTGGCCGTCAGTGCAAGGGTGACTTGGAGGAGTTCATGCGAGGAGGAGATGAAAGCATGTGGACAGACCTGGAGCAGGGTGAAAAAGTTGTCAGAAAACCGAAGGCAATGGAGGTGTGCAGCTGAAGCCCTATGTTCCTCTAGGAACTAAAGGATACAATAATAATAATAGTGTTGGCTTGAGTTGGGTTTTAAAGCCTCTTTAGGGATATTTTCACGTTAGGGTTAGGGTTAGAAGACTTAAAGAGAATGTGGTTTAAATACCCTATTGACACTCCAGTACAAAACTAGGTGTCATTCGTGTTCTGTATAACAGTTTCATACCATTTTACTCACTATTTTCATAAAGACATTTACTTTATATGTAAAAATGGCCTTTTTTTAAAGTGACTGATGAGTTTAGCGTCATCGGTACGCTGAACTACTCCACTACTTAAAGTCTAACTTCGCTCGGTTGAGTTACTCAGGATACTTTATACATTTTTCGCCTTTATGAATTTGAATAAAGCAAAAGTGTAGCGGTTATTCTCGAATAAGACAGTACCATCGTTGATGTCGTTTTCTTGTCATCAGCTGAGCACAGCCTAGAAAATTTACTAAGTTTCTTCACAGGACATACTTTTAAAATACTTGCAAATGTTACATGATGTTAAACGACAGGAAGCTCCATACTTTAAAAAAATTGTTTAGAAATTATATTTATGTAGCTTATACTCTAAAAGTTCAGGTTTAAATAAAAAAATGAAGGTTTAAATACACTGATGAAAGAATTATGTAATAAAGGCGGAAGTTATGTAGATTATCATTCACAATCTTGAAATATATCGGGGAGTTATTAACATTACCTTTACCTCGAGGCATTATCAAAGCCTCCATAATGGCAGTTGACATGTCAGTTAGCAGAGACCCAGTATTTGGGTCTGATGTAAAGAGAAAAAAATAAGTACTGATAAGGGTAACTCGAGGGTCCATCTTGTGGCCAAGTGGCCTAATGAATAAGTCTTTTACACTTTAAACAATAGATAATCTCAGTAGGAATACCGTCATTTACTAAAGCTACAGTTATATGTAGCCGATGAGTCCTGAAGAGGAAGAAACGCGTATTCTAGATTCCACTGCTGACAGAAATCAACGCAGTAACTACTTTCTTGTCTTAGCTCAGCTAATTTCGCTTAACTGAAAATCTGTTCAAAACTAGGGGTATATGTAATATTTATCTACTGATATAAAACTCCTTAAAAGTTCTTACCTCTGTGGACTATAAACAAACATAATGAATTCCCGAAATATTTTGCTCTTAGATTTTTCTTTTGCCATTCTTTGTGTCCCGACCGGAGCATAGGACTTTAAACCTTAAACTTAAGAGTCTTATAGCGGTACAATCACTTACAAGGAATTCAGTAGCTAGCCTTACAATCAAATTCCTCTCCTCTGGGCTTACTACCTGAAGGTTAGTAAGTTTGGAGAGACTTAGGAGTGTGTCAGCCAGGATATGAACCTGAACTCCTCCGAGCGGTTGGTGAGTTTCTACAATTCAACCAACGATGCATTTTACTCTTAGATTGTTCAATTAAAATTAAATAATTCACAATGTATAGTAAACACTATGCGTTGACTTTAGTGTGAAATCACATTTCCTGTCGATTTCATTGACTTCTTTTCTATTTTATTGGAGTATGTTGTGAGCAACTGAAATGAATTCACTTTTGCAGATAAGATTACTAATTACTATCATTTTATCCCTTTGTATCATTAGTGGAACATAGGACTTCAAGCTAGAGCTTTGAAGATTAAGTAGCACTGGTGTGCTTGTTTGTAGAATGAGGCTTCTAACCTCACGCTGAACCTTCGCTCTTTACTGGGCCTATTACCATCTAGGCGAGTGTTCTACCACTGAACCACTGGCTCATAGTAAACGTTTTCACCTGGCTCCACGCCTGCCCAGATGCTTTCACCTCCATATCAGCCTTGCAGTAACGACCACTTCAGATTCGGGTTCCACTTGAGCGATGACCTGGCATGTGATGTCACTTGATGGTTTGTTTTCTCAGAGTATGGCCAATCCACCTCCATTTCTTCCTGCATATTTGTTGCGTAAATGGTTCCTGGTTGTTCTTTTGTTCATTGCCTGAAATCCCTGTTGCTGATCTTTCTGGTCGGCCATTAGGCGAAGACAGCTGTTGATGGAGGTGTGCAGTTTCTTTGAAGTGCCCTTCGCGACGCGGTGCCAAGTCTCTCACCCTTAAAGCAAGTAGCACTGACTTCACATTGGAGTTGAAAATCCGGATCTTATTTTTCTATCCTGCTGAGAGTTGTTGATCTCCACACAGACTTGAGAGTAATGAAAGATAAATTCAAAGAAATCACCAGAGCAACATAAACAATACAGTGATACGAAATAACTGAATCTATAACTGAACGATTTCAGTTACGAAATATGAAAAAAATTCAAAAGCAGTGACAATGAAAGACAGAGTGGTTGGCTTCATTAGACAAGCATGCCTAACATTTTTGTGTATTATTGATTAGCTAATACACCGAATAATCCTGACATTTAAGTCAGTGCCTCTACAATTAATTCATATCCACACCCATAGAAATCAACAATCTTTTGGGTGGTAAATTTTAATTATTTCGAAATTTTCATTTAGACGTTTAGTAAACAACTAGTTGAGTTTCGAGTGGAACATAGAGCTTCAACAGCCTATCTTCATTTCACTCTGTTCTCTCTGAAGTGCTTTTAATCCGGTCGAATGCCTGACGAAAAACTTTCATTTCCTCCCCCGCCCCCCCCCACACACACATTATCTCCTCCATATCACTATCGGAGCTACACCCAATTGGCC